ACCACTACTACCATAAGATGTGGAGTATATTCAATTTGGTATTAGATTGGTAAAAATGTTTTTGTACCCTTCACCACACTGTGGTACAGGGTATTATGCCTTTGTGCATATGTTTGTAACAGGCAAAAGGAAACGAGATAGACACATGGTTCCTTTTGAGAATATGCATAGAATCACTTTCTGAGTCGATTTATGCATGTCCGCCCGTCCGTCCGTCTGTTGATGTTAAATTGTAAACAAAGTATAGGTCGCATTTATGATCCGATTTGGATGAACTTTGGCATAGATCACTTACGAACCCTATTGAAATTGGGAAAAATCGGTTCAGATTTAGATATAGCTCCCATATATATTTTCGTCCTATTTAATGTAAATGGTCCACCAAAGTCAATATATATCTTTCGATTTGCACGAAATTTGGTTCAGCGTAATGAATTAGGTCTACAATGATGTGTGTTAAGTTTCGTGAAAATCGGTTCAGATTTAGATATAGCTCCCATTTGATCCAATTTCATTTTACTGGCCCTTTAAAAATGCGACGTCTGTTAAGATTCATCGGCCCCGTCCGACTGTACTACTTTCCTTACTGGTTTTCTTATTATGAACCTCAATTTTTAAAACTAAGAACCTCACATTCTCCAGTTTGGAGTTCTATATCTATATCGCATCTTTTGTGAATTCGAAATTGAAGAATTTGAAACACAATTTTCGATACATTGAAATTTTCATTAACACATATAGATCAAATTTAAGCTTTTATTATTTCAATTCGCTTATATTGCTAACATCTTAGAAAAATTTAAAAGCATATCATATTTTGTAGAGTGACTATATTTCAACAACAGAAACACTGCACCACTTTTGTCTGCTTGTTTTCCGTCTTCACTATTTCCCTTCTTCTCTAAGCAAGTGGTCTATTGTTGGGTTGACGGTTTGATCAAAGAGCGAGTTACTGGGCTGTTCAGGGAAAATTTATCAATTATTTATATTGGTTAGTTGCATTTTTAAGTCCAAACTGTTTCCTTTAAAAGGAATATTTAAGTTGATTGTAAGTGACAGGGTGATCATCATTACAAGCAAATATTATTAAATTCCGCCGGGCCAAACGTTGCCTTCAAAAATGTTTCCGAAAAGTTTCGATTGGAAAATACGCCTATTACAATGGAAATACCTAAATTAGGGTAGGACTTTTATATGGGGGCTAAGTAAACCCAGGATTCAATTTGCACGAAATTAGGCATATCGCACTGAATTGAGTCTTGAAAGGCGTGTGTTAAATTCCGTGGTTTCGATATAGCTTCCATATATATTTTCGCCCAATTTAATGTAAATTGTTCACCAAAGTCCCTGTATATCTTTCGAGTTGCACGAAATTTGGAATAGATTGCGCTAAACTAACTAAAGACCCAATGTTTTTCCGATTGGCACACAATTTTGTAAAATTTAATATAAATTAATCTCTGGCAAGTTTCGTTGAAATCGGTTCAGGTTTTTTTTTTTGCATTGGAGAAAACAGTTCGTTATAACCGGTCTTCGTTATACACGTGCTCTATTGTATATAATTTTTATATTGCTCATCTAGATCAGATCCTTTAGTCTATCATTAGAAAAAAACACATAATTTCCTCATGATTTAATTAATTATAGCGCTAAATTTTAATGTCACGGTTATTGATCTACAGATACTTCTTTGGTTAAACAATTACGAAAATGGAAACAGAAATATGGCATCATTATATTTATTTATTTAGTATTTTTTCTGAAACCCCTAAAAGCATGCTGTATTTATTTGTATTTTACCCATACCCCAAGCTTAACGAATATCGATTGAATTTATGATATATTTGTTGGTTTCTACTTGTCGTTACTTTAAAGTTTAAAGTTACAACATAAAACTATTTCCCCTCGACACACATTTATACAAACATTATGGCATTGAATTTTATACGCTGGTTTGAAGCGTAACAATAACTTTTCGTTTTCTTTTTTCGTCTAAATTGATGTTATTTTCCAATAAATACTGCGATACACTTACCTATAGCAATGAAATCAAAACGTGAGTTAAACGCATGAATTGTTATTATAATAATAATTGAAGAATTTATGTACACGAGTTTGATGGATGTATATACATAGACATACATATGGTCACTTTGTTACCATAGATTTCAAATGGTTTTTATTATAAAATCAATCATTTGCCATAAACAATTTGAGTCCACCCTTCGCCAAACACCTTATTATACCCTTCACCACACTGTGGTACAGGGTATTATGTCTTTGTGAATATGTTTGTAACAGGCAAAAGGAAACGAGATAGAAACATGGTTCCTTTTGAGAATCACTTTTTAAGTCGATTTATGCAGGTCCGTCCATCCGTCTGTCCATGTTTCGCTGAAATCGGTTCATATATGGATGTAACTTCCATATCTATTTTCATCCGATTTTAAGTAAATGGTGCACCAAACTCCTCATGTTTTTAATATTGACATGAAATTTTGCACAACGTACAAAATTGAGCATTTTGATATTTGCTTTAAATTGATTTACATAATTTCGTCCCATTGTAACAAACGAATAATAATTTCATTTCAAGTACCTGTCAGTATATATATGGCCCGGACGAACTTTTTTGACTGGTTAAATAATATTTTTAGGAGGACCTTTATAAACGTAGATTTTTGTAAGGATTTTTTAAGGATATTTTTAGAAATATTTTTCATTTTTAAACACATAATAATGTTTCGATCACCTCATCTCCCAAAACACCTCCAGTCCAGGCCACAATTTGCCTATAATTATCCTTGTGGACAGACATAATCACACTTGCATTACCCTCATCTTTTCGCTTGTGGTCAAGGACCATTTGGCCACGGGTATGTTGCCCTGCCAACTCCACAGTGGCATGATATAGAGGACTCCTAGTGATTATAAGTTCCAGAAATAGGAAGGCGGCAACCAAGACAGCATCACAAATAATCCATTTCGCATAACCCAAGGGGCGTGTGAAGGAATTCTCCACCGTGTTCATGAAATGCATGACTTTTGAATCGTCCTTGGATAGCACTTCAAAACGCCAATTCTAGGGAAAGAAATCAAAGAGAATCGGCTATTTTTGTAATTCTAGATAAAATATTTGATTGCTTACAGCATCATAATTCATTTCACCATCGATACAGGTCTCCCACGACACCACCAACATTGGTTTGCTGAAACTTTCAAAGACAATATGGGCTGCCTCCGGATCCAGGCGAAAATTGAATTCATTGAATGTTCGCCATAAAGTTTTACTATAAGTCTCAGAATAGACTAAAACTAAAAAAATCAGCAACGTCAAAAATCTTAAAAAAAAACAAAAACTCATTTTAGGGTTAATATCGTACTTTTTACTAGTTTTTACCCATTTTTAAGTTTTAGAAGGATAGTATAAGGGACAAAAATATTCTCCATAATTTTTTATCATAAGTCACTGAACAAGAGAAATCTGTATTCATATGCCGAATACATAGTCATACATTTTAAACAAAAAATTCAAAATGTTCTTGTATTTTGCTTAAAGATATACCAGTATTTTTTTCGACTAAGTGCATTAAAGTAAATGAAACTTAATTTTAGGTATATAATGTCAAAGAATAAAATATTCTACGTCATAATCCACTTCAAGTCTCAGAACAAACTACATATTTATATTCAATAGTTTTTATGATTCAGTATAAAATTAACTGAAGTCTGCAAAAAATTGTTTGTTATTGTATAATTTTATAATGTTAATTTCTTCAAAACTATTGAATATAAATATATAATTTATGCTGAAACTTGAAAAGGATTTTGACGTAGAATATTTTATTCTTTGACATTATATACCTAAAATTAAGTTTCATATTATTTTGATGATTGATGGAGAATTTTGAATTTTTGTTCTATATATTCAGTATATACATTATATATACAGATTTCCTTGTTCAGTGATGGAGTGATTGTAATTGATAAATATTATCCATCTTGTGGGAAAATTGGGTAAAAACTAGTAATAAGTACGATATTAACCCTAAAATGAGTTTTTGTTTTCTTAAGATTTTTGACGTTTAGGCTGATTTTTGAGTTTTAGTCTATTCTGAGACTTATAGTAAAACGTTATGGCAAACATTTCTGTAGAATATTCTGAGCAGCTTTAACCCCGTTTTGAATGAGTTTTCAATCACTCCTGGAAAACGGGGACCGAAAATACCCATTTAATGAGTCGGTTGAGTGTTAAAGTTGCATACCAAAAAACTCCTCGATATTTTATCAGTAATATTGCCGAAGAAATCATAATTCGAAAATTATCAAAATTCTTGAAAAGGGGGAATATTGTCCCTCTTTTTAGGTTACCTCACGACGTAAACTTTCAAAACGCCAACACACGTGTCTTCTTTTTTAGCCCCTCTTTCATAATCTTTTGGAATTTCCCGGTAATTATTTTTTGTGATGCACAGTGTTATATAATTAGAATTATAAAAACTACGTTTTAAGTAATTGTACAATAACATTTAAAAATAAAAAGAAATACAATGCATTTCTTTAAATTAGAGAATTTTTGTTTGTGTTTTGTAAAAAATTTTCGCAACTAACAATTTGTTCCCAGTTTTTTTCTGAATTCGGAACGAAACCCTGCACAAGTTTCCGATTCTGATGGCGAATTCATACCGAAGTAGGAACACAATTGTGTGAAGGTGACGACGAATTCGAAAGTTTTGTCGAAAAAAATCTTAAGGAACATACGAGTTTGTTTATGAATTCTAAACGAAGTTGTAGAAAATTTCGGGAAAAAAGAAGGGAAATTTTCGATTTACTGCACAATTAGGGAGATTTTCGGACATTTTTTCGGTATACAATCGGTATACAAACATTTTTTCCTTTTTTCCAAAAATTTGCGATAGAATGTGCAGATTATTCGGTAATCGGAAAAAGGGTTGAGAAATTTCGATGAGTAACATTTTATGGTAGCAACATGTAAACAAGGCTGAGTGTACACAAATATGAACACCTAGCCTCATTTTCCAGCCCAAGTGGGTGTAATTTCGTATTTCGTTGTGGACAATTTTAAATATAAATCCATGTTTTGACATAACTTACATATGAGGTCCCGTTCATTTTCGATACTGAAGGTCTTGAATTTCGGAAGCTCTTTATTTTCAACCAATTTTCACCCCTTTTATTTCGCATTTATGAACCGAATAAGACCTAACATGTAACAAATAGTTGATTTGTTCTAAAGACAAACCTTATTGAAAGCTGTGAAAATAGGTTCAGATTTTACATAGCTCCCAATGTATTTTTTTATCCGATTTTATTTAAATCTTTTCTCCAATTAGAGCGAAATTCTAACTATGTACCAAATAAAGTCTGGAATGGCGTGTTTTACTGCATTCGATTATGCTTTATATATCACTATATTTTCGTACGAGTTCATGCAAATTGAGCATCCAGGACTGCTCCGAAATGATTTTTGTACAAGAATATTGAAGCAAAGAATGAAGCCCTGTATTTGTTCCTAGTGTAGAGGTTATGTAGTCTTCCCCTATCGACATTGTTAATTTCCTAATTACTTCTAATATCTTATTATACTTAAACTAAATTACTGCTAATGTCTAAAACTTAAATTTTTTACAATTTTTTTTACTTGCTTCTACTCTCATTCGACAGCTTAGCTTATAGAAAATCGCTCGAACAAAGTTATTAAATAAATTTGTTCACAATAAAAAAACAGCCATTAGGTCGTTGGTTATGTCTCAAAAGTTGGCAAACTGCAGTTCATCATGGGATAAATTAATTTATGACTATTTTTATGTCTACAGCTTTGGTCATAACGCCATTTTTTTCCTTTTGGACGCTTATGATAAATTGTGGTCTACATAAAAAAGCTACAATGACCTTCATTATTCACTTTATAAGCTTCTTGCTTTTCGCAAGCTAATATTCTTTGCAAAAAAAATCTGGAAAAAAGCGACGATGTAATTAATTTCATTGGATGATTATGTGAGGTGATTATCATAGATCTTCTTTGGCTACGATGCCAGCAAGAACATTGATTTTAGATATTATTTTTATTTATTTTTTTGGTTTTCATAAAGCTACTACCGTAGCTAAAAAACAAAATGTATTTCACATTTAATATGCAAAAAGTATAAAAAACAATTTTGAAACTACTAAAAAAATTAGGTTATCTTTCCATTTAGGAATTATTTTTATTTTATATGATTTTATTATTTATGTTTCCGCATTCACATTTGCCAACAAAAAACCATTGTTCGTTCAGTTTAGCTTTCTGGGTTTTTGTTTTTGGTCCATTTCTAAACAAATATTCTACTAATGTGCAATAATGTTTGAAAACATCTATGTATGCCTGTATGCGTGTTTGTGTGTGTTTGTTATGTGCGCTCATGTCCGTATTCATGTTGCTAAAAATTTCAAAATCCATTAAATGCTTTCCTAACCACAATTTAAATGCCTTTTGTCGGTCACCGACCAAAGAGCAAGAGTCAACCAGACCAGAGTCCGACCAATATGCTAACACAACTGACAATATTTACATTGGTCTCATATCGTTTTAGTTGATTTGTTGACAAAGCAAATGTTTGGAGAACAAAACGGATACGCTATAGTTGGTAAAATTGCTTGAATGAAAAGTAAGTAAAAGTTGATGGAAAACTTGTATAGCCTCCACCATAGTTTACTAATAGTTAATTCTAATAATGTTTCCAAACTCACATGAAGTAGTATGCAAATGTCCAATCCAATGATAAATCAAAACCAGTGAGTGGAGCAGTATAGTCGGACGGGGCCGACCATACGATACCCTACACAACAACCTCAGAACTCGGATGTTTATTCCGAGCCTGGGCAATATTTCGTGATATTTGCCGCGACTTGTCCGATTAGAGGTCAATAGCACATCTTCCTTACATTTTCCGAATATTACAAATATTCATTACAGCCCTTCTAATTACTTATCCAGATTCCCTTCACGGTGGGTTGTGATATTCGGCTTATATTCGACTAGAAAACACGCAAAGAAATTAAGTTTTCGGTCCACTTCAAAACAAAATTTTATTCTGATCATCACCGAAAATTATAGGCGTTGTCCTTAACCATAATTGGAACGTCATGGCAAATTTCAAAGCGATTAGCGCTATATTTCCGCCCTCTAATGTGGTAATGAGTTACTAAATAATATCTGAATACGTAAGCACATGTAAACATTTAGGTGTAACTCCCACATCCGAATACATACATCAATATATTTGGTATCAATTTAAAGGTCAACCACTCCTCTTGGATATACTATCAACTTATCGAGTATATATCCTTCAGGAGTAAATATATAAACCATAGAATTCAAATTTGGTAATTTTTCACACAAAAGTCAGAGTCCATTTGACCCGATAAATAATGACCGATCTTTATCAAAGCAGACATGCTTATTCTTAGGGCTGATTCGCTTCTCCATGTAAAATTTCGCTTCTCCATGTAAACAATAGGGGTTCATTGGCCAGAACCCATCCTACATGCAAAATTTCGTGAAGATTGGTCCATAACTGTGGCCTGTATCGTGTTTACAAATTATAATGGACAGACGGATAGACGGACGGACGAACACACATGTCAAGATCGACTCAGCTAGTCGAGATATGACGATTCGCTGCGTTACAAAGTCTTGGGGCTGCACAAAGCTATAATACCCTGACAACATAGTTGTGTAGGGTATAAATATCGAAAAATCGTCAGTATAAGAACAAAAGGGGAACTGATATATGAGACAAAACAAGACACAGTTGGAAGAAATGGGAGGAGAAAGAAGATGGAAGTCTACTTGTGGTGGGCCTACAATGTATTCTTCAAGATTGCGAAGGCAATCATGAGAATCCATGATTTTATGTAGAAAGTTTTCCCACCTAATGAGAACCCCAAAATATCAAACAGCCAAATCGATTAAATCCAAAATCTAATGATAACAAAGTCATCCAAAGCATAGAAGACCTTAGAAAAATAGTGGCTGAGACTATCAAACATAATCTGGTGTGGAAACAGGACTTTCCTAAATTACAAAAGCCAACGGTTTTCGTCAGAGGTTGGGGCAGTGATTTCACGACAGAACGCATGCCCGAACTCTTTAGTTTGACAAAACAGGACACAGTTGTGAAGAAATGGGAGGAGAAAGAA